CAAGCCCACAAAGACGATCCAACGAACCATCAGATCCATAGTATACCAAGTATACATTGCAATCACAAAAAGATCAATGGAAATGGACTCAAGGAGCACAAAGCAAATTGCCGGCTAGGACAAACTGAGAAGTCTGCGGTAGCTGAACATGCACTAAGCAATGGGGGCCACAGGGTAAACTTTGGGAGCTGCAGGTTGCTGTCATCAGTAAACGGCTATCACAATAGACTGGTCAGGGAAGCTATCGAGATTCACAAACATCCAGATAACTTCAACAGAAAGGAAGAGACCCTCAGTCTCAACCCGATCTGGCACCCGATCCTCAGAAAAGCCCGAGCAGTACCGATCGACATCCCGAAGTCAACCGAAGCGGAACAAGCCACGTCCCCTACCATCGGATATAAATACAACCTACGCAAGAGAAATCGTCAGGCCATCAACTTTCGATCCTAAAACTGTTTGAAGAAAGTCCTATAAAGCCTATATCAAAAAAAAAGTTCCCAAGAAAAGCTATTTAATGATGTGGAAATATACAAGGTGTTCCGTTTGAGGTTTGTAAGAAATGGTACGTTTTGCGTTTTAAATAAATACAAAGATATTTTAGCATTTCTTCTAAATGATAATAAAATGGATGATAATAAAATCTTTGTGAACTACAGTTTATTTAAATTTCAAAAATGACGGAGCTGCAGGCCGTAAAAGTTGGGCATTTTTTCAGTCATTTCACTGAATGTCTAAACAAATGACAACCGAAATCATATGTGATATGATATCAAATTCTTGTTTTTAGGCAAAAAATGAAAGGAACCTTGAATACAAATATTTCACTGACAACTCAAAATTAATATTTAACGCACAAACGGTATCCTGGGACGAAATTTTTTTAACAAATTCTTTAGACGAAGCTACAAATTTATTAATACACAAAATTCAAAAAGTAATTGAAGTTAGTACTAATAAGGTTAAAATAAGTCACAAGGAAAAAAGCAGAAATGATTGGATGACCAAAGGACTAATAAAATCTGCAAACGAAAAAGAAAGACTGTATAAAATCATGAAATATTTACCCACGAAAGAAAATATAGATCATTATAATCAGTATAAAAACAAATTTATAGAACTTTTGAGAAAAGCAAAAAAAAATTACTATATAAAACAATTGAATAATAATTCACATGACTCTAGATACCCATGGTCCACTGTCAATGATATATTCAATAAGTCATCCTATTCAAAAAACAATATTAATGAAATAAAAACAAAAACAGGACAGAAAACAGACAATATTCAGCAAATATGTGATGAGTTCATAGAATTTTTCACGAATATAGGAGGAAACTTAGCAAATAATATCAAACAAAATGCTGATATTCATCTGCATGAAACAAGACTGAATAATTCATTTGTATTAACTGAAGTAGACTATCAGGATGTTTTCAATGCCATTATGACTCTAAAAAATAAAAAAAGCCCTGGAGTTGACGAAATTAGAGCTGAACATCTAAAGATACTGGCCAAACAAATAACAGAACCACTTGCTTATATCATTAACAAATCCTTCCAATCTGGAGTATTTCCATCAGCTTTCAAGACAGCAATCATCATACATATCTATAAATCTAATGATAATACGGACGTCACTAACTATCGACCTATTTCACTTATATCAAGTTTAGCTAAAGTTTTTGAGAAATTACTCCTGAATAAAATGATTAATTTTCTTAATAAATTCAAAATTCTAAATTCAAATCAATATGGTTTTATAGCGGGCAAATCTACAACAGATGGGGTATTAAGTATAGTAGATGAAATAACCCAAAATATAGATGGAAAAGTACCATCGATATGCGTATTTGTGGACTTACAAAAAGCGTTTGACACAGTTAACCACAATATACTTTTGGAAATCTTAGAAAGAATAGGTTTTCGTGGAAAGATGTATACTTTAATGGAAAATTATTTATCAAATAGACCGCAATCAGTAAAATTATTAAGCTCGTATAGTAAATAAATGTTTGTTAAATGTGGTGTTCCACAAGGTACAATTTTGGGTCCTCTGTTATTCAATATTTATTTAAACGATATATTCAAAATTAACAGTACTGGTAAAATAGTCAGTTTTGCAGACGATACTGCTATACTCTATAAAGGTAAGGATTGGAACGACTTAAAAGATATTATCCAAAATGACTTTTGCAAAATTATTCAGTGGTTTAATAACCGAAAATTAACAATTAACTTTACTAAAACTCATTTTTTACCATTTTCATCACTATCTAATCATCTACCAAAATATAACCACCTTCGGTTTAAGGTAAATGATAAAAATATAAAAATCAATAGAGTTAATGATACAAAATATTTAGGAATTTATCTAGATCCCCACTTGAGATGGGATGTACATATTTCTCACATACTAAAGAAAATTAGATTCATAGCATATAAAATAAAATTTCTAACCGGTATATTAACTGAATATTATCTACGAATAATATATCAAGCTTTAGTCGAGCCACACATAAAATATGGTATAGTAGTGTGGGGTGCTGCATGCACAACATACTTTAACGATTTAGATGTACTTCAAAGAAGAATTTTAAAATCAATGTTAGGCAAATCAAAATTATACCCAACTAATGACTTATATAATGATGCACAAGTATATGATACTAAACAACTTTACTTCTTACATACCATCACTCATTATCACAAAACTATTAGTGAACACGACATAATTAAACATAATCATAAAACCAGATATAAATTACGCGCAAAAAATGTTCCTAAACCAAACAAATCCCTAATGAAACGATGTCACCTGTATATAGCTCCAAAATTGTACCAACATTTACCAAATAATTTAAAACAATTACGCAATACATTAGGCTTCAAAAAAAATTTAAAAAAATTTATTAACACGATTGGGAGAAATCAAATTAATAAAATAATCTCAAATATTACACAGTAAATGCTCTACCATTCTTACCAATAATTTCTTTTTTCTCTCTATTTTATTATATTTTGCAATTCAACATACATATGATCCATGCACAGGCGTTGTCCTCCTATGGATATATTATATTTATTTACTCGTTTCATGTTCCCTGTATTTTAGAGTAAATAAATATTATTATTATTATTATAGAAGCTCTCTCCAAATATGCAATAAAATATAGGGTATCGTATTTAAGAAAATACATATTTGCTATGGTATGAAGTTATGGAACAGCCTGTAAATAGTAACAAAAAATAAGGGTTAGCGCTAAAACAGATTTATGATATATTTTCCAGTTTGCTCATAAAACTACTTCCTATTTTTATTGCGACACCCTGTACAGCGTGGTCCGTCCTTTCTAATTCATATAAAACACCCAAAAATAATGTGAGAAACTTCACAAACAGTTTTACGGAGATACGAGGGACGCTAGAAAATAAATCTGCCTACGTTTGGAAAGAACAAATGAGACGAAGAAGCATAATAAGTAGTAGCAAGTCTTTTAACCTGGCTTGCAAAATTGAGTTGATTTTGATAATCAGTTTCTAACTTATAAAGCGAATTGTGAGAAAAATTGGTAACTTGAAATTGGGGTATCGCAGTGTCATAAAATGTCTGGCAAAACAGGGCCCTTAGCCGAAAACAATTGTTGAGAGAATGGTTGCCATCTATAGGGATGATGTACCATCATATTACGCAATAAAGTTTCGGTCAAAATAGTTTCGATCGGGGCATGAATCCATAGAAGACGATCCGAGAAGTGAACCACACAAAACAGCAACAAACGATGAAATGGCTCAAAAAGTCATGGTTCTCGATGTACGTCGTGAGACGGCCTCAACCATTAGTATGGCATTGAATATATCCGGACCCAGCGTAATAATCATCTTGCACGATAATTTGCATATGAGTAATGGGTCAGCCAGGTTCCACGACCGTTGACACCTCAACAAAAACTGTGCATGTTAGAAATTTAAGAAAGTCATTTGTAAGCTTTGACCAACGATTCTGACTTTATGGCACAAACTGCGACGGGTGACGTGACTTGAAATCCAGAATCCAAGCAGTGGCCTAAAAGCAGCCGCCGACGACTTTTTTGAGAGTCAAGATGAAACATTTTTTTATCAGGATATAAGTTCACTGTAGGGTAAATGGCGCAAGTTCACTGATGTAGCGATTATATTGAAAAATAAAATTATTAAAAAAGTCGTACGTCTTTTGTTTCATGGCTAGGTGAATTTCTTTTCTAGTACCCCTCGTACATGTCCCTACAAGACCCTACTGCAAATTGGTTTTCTTAAACAACTCCTAAAAGACACCGTATGATTGCACTAACTTTTGACAGTGTAACAACCAATTAGAGTATCGCCTGATGGTGTTAATAAAAAAAATTAACTCATTCGAGTCGCCAGTGAAATACTATTCCGAATGGGTAAAATAATTTTTTGATTTATTTTTTCCTATTTCACATCATGAAAAAGATTTTTCAATATCAAACAATGGTAAATTTTTCCATCATTTTTACTATTAATAAACTTGACTGATACATTTTAGATTTTGAAACTGCTCTAACGATTTGTATGTGCTTATGATAGCATTAACTAAAATACTTTCTAGGAGCTGAGAAACATTAGATATGCCAACATGTAAATGTTTTTATAACTTTTCTGTTCATAGTAAAACTATCAGAGATACAAGGTATTATGAATTCCCTTACGGCACCAAACCAGTCTATTTTATTTTTGCTCAAGTCAGTATTTGACATAATTTCTAATAAATCTGCACATTTTGCTAGTCGCCAAATGAAACCATATATTAAGTTGGATTGAATATTTTTTAATGTTTCGGCCTCCCTGGTGCCCGTTTTCAAAATACAAATAAAAAATGACAATGTTACCGAAACTTTAGTAGGCATTCAATCCAAAATAAATGTGCTTTCAGTAAAACACAGTTATTTGATAAATTTCAGTTGTTTCATGATTCTGAAATGCACTTTTTTTTTCAGGTGGTAGCGTAGACTATACAGTGGATAAGCGATACAGTCCGGACAACTTCAAATTCAACAGCCAGTTTTCATATGTGGACTACCAAAACTTCACTCAGAAGAGCCCTTACTCCACCCAATCACCGGAAGCATCTCCAACGCAAAGTCCGGAGCCTAAAAGCTCCAAAACACCCGGTAGCCCAGGAGACAGTAAAGACGGTTTGGGAGAGCGAAGATCAGCTTCCCTACCGACACCTCAGTTGTCGCCTTTGGAGCATGACAAAGAGGCTTACCAGCAGTACGACGATAAAAGGATTCCTATTAGTATACCCAGCACCATGACAAACACTAACGCCAGTCAAAGTTACAATAGTAGCAGGGTTCAGAACTATAGGCAACCTAGCACGAACTATACCAACACTCAACCCATTACCTCTGTTCCAATGGCGAACGGCATGTATGTGATGTGTGCCAATAAGAGCAGTGTTGAGCAAGGTCACGTGGTCACTGGGACATTTTATCCACCTGTGGCGACGTCTCAAGACCAGCAACTTCTTGGCAATGCCCAAAACGTCCACACCATCGCAACTAGCGCAGCAAATAGTTTACATTACTACCCCGCTAGCATACATCCGTCGTACTATAGCAAAGAGTACGTTTACGAGACTCATGATCCAAACAAAGATAGTTTCCTGGGATACCAACAACAGATGAAGCAGATGATGGACGCTCAAGCAGCATATAAGCAAACGCCCATGGAAGAAGCATATCAAGAATATGCCAACCAGGATAGCGGCCAGCTGGTACAAGGATACCTTCCGGCTAGTGAAGAACGCAGTGATGTAGATAGTGACGTAGACACTCGTGAATTTGACAAGTATCTAAAGTTCGGTAATAGTGATACCAACGTGATAGATTCTAACCACAATTACCATAGGAACGAATCCGCGAATACGAACGTGGCTTACAATTTCCAGGCACAACATACGTCAGTGATTCTTCCCACGAACGTGAAGCCGGAACCTTACCTGGGACATTGTCCTGAGGGTGTGTATGATCTGGCACAAAATGGAGTGCCGAAAAATGAGGACGATTTCAGTGAAATATTGGCTGGAGTAAGGAAAACTTGCTTCAGCACGTGACTAGGATGGATCAGTAGGTCCGACGTGCAATATGGTTCCAAGTGATAAATGTTTAAGAAAGTTTCGTAGGGTGCTTCACTCAAAATACTAGTCAGAACGTGAGGCACACAGGTCCATGCAAAAATCATATAAACGCAAATAAACCAAAGTGCCTTGGTTTCTTTAAGGTTATTTGACGGTTGTGTTGAAGACCAAGTAACAGGCTTCCGTCAAAATGTTACGTATGATAAGAAATTGATGCTAATCTTAGAAGATCTATCCAAAGTACGAATTTAATCTTATCTAATTTACTTTCTAAAAATGATCTTGAATGACAAGGAAAAATTGTCTTCAAATAACCAAAGGTTGAATGAATGAATCTTGAAACTAGAGACATTCCGGCCACCATAAGGAGCCAGTGCATAGACCGCTTAAGCAGATCACAAGCCTCGCCCTTTTATCGAAGTTGAGAATCGCCTTGAGTCCAAGATCCTTGACGTCCTGAGGGTCCAAAGTAATGGACCCCAGTATAGTCTGCTTATAGTAGCTCAGAGCTTCACAGCGACACAAAACGTGCGCCGAGGTCTCTTCCTCTAATTCGCAGCGTTCACACAAGGGATCCTCAGACACCCCCATCACGTGCAGTCCCACCAGCAACCTTAGGTTGGTTCTATCCAGAGATAGGCAGAAGCGTCCATCCTTAGCACTGGGCCCTTGAATGAGTTCTCGTGCCTGGCGGAGATGTGTGGAGATACTTCTCCATTTCTGAGAGTGTCTTGCAACCCACGTCTCCATTTTCCTCCTAGCTTTATGCGCGGTCACTCCTATCGCTGGTTCAGGACCAACGAGCTTGCTGGCTGATCCTGTCTTCGCCAGCGTGTCCGCCGTCACATTGCCCCTTATCCCAGCGTGCCCCGGTACCGATATTAACGATACCGGATGCCTCGCTGCGAGGCAATCCAAAGCCTCCCTGCATTGCAATTCAAGACTCGAAGTAATCTTACAGCCACTTAGTGCTTTCATTGCAGCCTGGCTGTCGGATAAGATTGTTATTCTTCTCCTAGGCCCACCCTCCTCCAGAATCTGAGATACACAAGCCAGAATCGCAAAGATTTCCGCCTGGAAAATGATGCTGTATCCACCGAGAGGCAGAGATAGCCTAGTTCTAGGCCCAGAGACCCCAGCACCCGAACCCTCTTCAGTGACTGAGCCGTCCGTGTACCAGACCTGTTGGATACTCCACAATAAACTTGCAGTTGAAGCGATATTTAGGGGTAATACGATCACCCCTGCTTAGAAGGACGGGGTCCTCTACTTGTAATTCGACTAAGATGGCAGTATGCCCCTTGGCAGGATTCAAGAAAGGCCAGCCGCCCTGACTCCACAGTCGATGAGCGACTACTCTCACTTCACCGCGGATCACCAGATCCAACGGTGGGAGATCCAACAGAGTTTCCATTGCACTCAATGGCGTTGTTCGCACTGCACTTGTAATACTAATACAGGTCAAATGCTGAATTTTATTGAGTTTGTCTCAGTTCTAATGTAAGGCCACCAGACCAGGGAGCCGTACAAGAGAGATGGACGTACTATCGTCGTGTAGAGCCAGTATACCACTTTGGGTTTAAGCCCCCACCTTACCCCGACAACACGTCTACAAGCCCACGTCGAATTGCGAGCCTTGCTAACCTTGTATTCCACATGTTCTCTCCAGTTCAGTTTGCAGTCCAGGATAATTCCCGGAACCGGACCAAAGGTTACCGCTCAGAGTTTCTTGCTCGGGCTTCAAAATTGCTGTATCTATATCATTTCGTAAACATTAACGGAAAAACTTTTTCGTGTACTGAAATAGCTCCTCGATGTTGGAAGTATCTTAAAGCTCCAATCCAATTCGAGTGAAAAAGATTTCTGACAACCTAAAGGCTGACCCTCTATACGTAACTACACAAAAAGGCCTTAATGGTTATTTTGAGTGCTTCACCCTATTATTTTATATAAAATGACTCACGGCACTAGTCAATTATGATACTGTTACTTTGTCCGTTGTTTTTGATAAAACTATGTAGTGCACTGGGAGGTTAGGAAAATTAGTAGCATCTACCAGGATTAAATCTCCGATTGGAAAGTCTGAGCTTCATGACTGGATTTGCCCGTGTTCAATCAATAACAATAACTAATAGTTGAATACAAATATGGAGCATTAAGCTTTTTAGACATTACATTATTTATGTTCATATATTATTTACTTTTTCGGCAATTAATGTTGTCACAAAAATTACAAATTCGGGAATTAAAACATTAGTAAAATTTTTTTCCACATCGTTCGAAAAATATTTTCTTGTACAAGATTACAATCCATGTACAAACTATACACGCGCTATCGAAACAAATACTACAGTAGCAAAATGTCAAATAGCTTGAATAACTCACTTGGAGATATAGAAAAGTACCAATGGACAAGAAGAGAAGTTGTCATTATTTTGTTCAGTTTGTAACCACTATATTTGATGAAACATTAAACACTTTTCACGTTAACATAGCTCAACTCATCACAATATATATCACAAGTTAATACTTGTACAATAAAATGAATCAGAAGTCGACTCGAATGTCAATGGTACTTTTCCGAAAACTAATAAAACGTATCTACGTATCATGTAAACTGATTGCTGGAGAGTGTTTCTTAAGATTCAACGTCACAAGGTAAACCTTAGGAGTAACCTTATTTATGGGATTTTGACGTAATTCCTCATTACACAATATACTTTATCTCAGCTCGTCACGGTAAGAATATTTACTTTAGAAATCTATTTTTATTTATCGAGATGTCGCTAAGCAAGATTATTGCTGATAGTCCTAAGAGATGGTATTTGTGCAAGAGATGCAAAGTAAAATATATTGTGTCTACTCCTATTTTTAACATGATCAACATTTAGCTAAATATTTCAAATATTGGCAACGTCCCAAGTATTACGGCAGTTTGAAAAGTTGGCATCAGATTTTTTCTTCACAAATAAAACTATCAATTCTTCCATTTAATGATAGTAGTCTATTCGAAATATATTAGGAGCCCGTATTAAGCAGCGACTAGGTGTCTGGGTTTTGACATAACACTGATAAACACATGATTTGTGACATGACAATTTTTGGGAGTATCTTATGTATTTTGAGACCCTTAAATCAAATGTAAAAACATAATTTTCTATCATCCACAGATATTCGGTAACATCTACTTTTATGAATTGCAATACGTAACATCTCATGTTGCTGCATTTCTCGGCGATTATGCGATGACGCACATATATAATGTTACGACCTGTCTATTCCTGTTTATTATATGCGAGCTCTATGTTTAGAGAACATATTGCGTTTATTAGTAGACTAATAGCAGCCGAGTCAGTTACGTTTTCTGTGTTGAAGAGTACTGAGATGTTCTGAGTACTGTTAATTTTTGTTAAAAACGTGTGTTGTTTTTAGTTTAAAATATAAAATACGGAAAATCATGAAGTATGATGTATATGACAGTGCTCTAAATGAAACTGAATTGCGAGCTTGGAATGCTTTTAAATCAGTTACTGCAAGTTTTTTAGGCAATGTGAAGGCGGACGACTATAAAGATATTGTGAGTGAACTAATTAATGCTTTTAAAGGGGATGTAACATGTCTCTAGAAATTTTCTTTTTGGATTCTCATCTCGATTTTTTCTGGAAAGTTTAGGTGGGGTAAGTGATGAGCATGGTGAACGGTTCCACCAAAACATTTCTGCGATGGAAAAATGGTATCAGGGCAAATGGAGTGTCAATTTGCTTGCTGATTATTGCTGGACATTGTTAAGAGATACTTCAGGAGCAACATATCGCCGTAAAACATCGACAACAACATTCTGAGATTAACGTTTATTCGAGTGTTTATTAGTACTCTTACACACATATCCTTATATTTTATGAGTATGAGCAGCGAATAAAATGCCTTATTGCAAGAAAACCGTGGGTGATAGAAAAAATTTAATGCTATTTCCGGCTTTTTGAGTACGTTTTACATAAAAACCACCTTGTTGTATCCATGTCACAAAACATTATTTTAATTTTGTTCAACAGTGTAATCAATCATGTAGTTCTTTTTTGTATCTCTTGTGCGGTTTGTTATGTCCGTAATTATGCTTATGTTGTCGACTATAAACATCTGTAAATCGTAGTATGTTATGTACAACCAAAAGACTGTTTGCTGTCAACAATACTACAATGATAAGTTTTATAATATATAAAAATCGTACTTGAGCTTTTACAGAGAAAATATATGATCAAATCCAACATTAGTTACGAAGAAAACTTTCCAACTGTGGTTTGTCATAAATATGACTCTCTAAACCACTTTAAACGTTTTGTGAATGATACGTAACCGTAAATCATTATTTTTGTAAACTAAACAATGATTTAGAGTATATGTTTCATCAGAATTTAACCTTTCGTATACGCAACTTCCAAGATAGGTTCCTTTGGTTACGGTCAAATCCGAACCAGTGGCGTATTTATGGTATTTTCTTCCATCATCGTACTTGACTATGATTAGGCAAGTAATGGTATAGAATTCTGGCATTATTGAACGTAACTTGATCCAAAACTAGGTAATGTATTGGTAGTAACATATTATTTGTTTCAGCACAACTGACTTATGATTAGATTGAAAATGTTTTGTGAAATCATTTGAACACTGTCTTCCATCAGACATGGCCATAGACAACATAGGCAACTTGAGTATTTCACATACTCTAAGAGAAATCCATACATCATAATGTATCGTTAATTTCAGTTTATCCAGAGGATTAAACATCATTGGAATAGTCACAAGTCTAGTTTTGGTTAAACAAATTTGATTCATTTCTAAATACAAGTAGACCATTGTATTACTTAATTTGAGGACGTGTGCTATCAGTCCTTGTTGTATGTTATAGATCTATACGATTTTCAATTAAAACCAAAGTTTGTACATACTGTATGTATATTTAAACATAAGTTATAAATGTGTACATATTATCAAACTTGTACAATATTTTACGGGAAATAAACTATTTTATGTCATACTGTATTAATTATTTACTCGTACCCAATAATGGCAACATACGCATCTTCAACAGTGCCAGCGACACTTGAGATAATACTGCATTTAATGATGAA